AAAAAAAAAAAAAAAAAAAAAAACTGGGACTCAAATCACATTCAACACTGTATTTAGTTTAGGAAAATATTTTAGAACTTTGGTTAGAAAATATATATCTCTGCTCTTAATTCCATGCCTAATACATAATGAGTCCCCAGTAAAAGTTTGCTAATAATGGCTGTTAGTCTTCTTGCTCTTAGTATGTGCTAAGCACTGTACCAAGTGCTTTTATCTGTATTGCCTTCATTTAATCTTCACCACCACCTTAAGAACTGCAGGTATTTGATTTAGATTCTCCTAGCATCAATCAGGAAACAACAGGGCGACCACATTTAGTTAGTTTTTCAGTGCCCCACCTCCAGGGCCATACAGGTGCCCATAAAGTAAGGCCCAGGAAAAATGAGATGTCCGTGGTCACATGGCTGTTAAATAGGAGAGCTAGGGTTTGAGCCAAGTCTGCCTTCCCCTGTGCTAGCCTGCCTATGTCCTTGTACTGTAGATACATGCTCAAGTCAGTGGTCTCGTTTTGTCTTGGGGGAGAGGGGGCAGTGAGTGGGGATGGAATCAGTTCCCTAGATGAGTATGAATAAGGAAAAAAATAAAAATTGGTTTTCATCAAGAGTTCTGAAATTTAGTCCAGCTCAGTACGTTTTAATTAATGTGTCTTGTTTTTAAAAACATCATTTCTCTATTTAGAAAAAAATGGGAAGTTATAGAATCTTTTTATTGCTGAATCCTTTAACTAGTAAACTTTGAAGTATTTCTAAATTTCACATACATTGCTAAATTTTTATTTAAATGGTAAAGTTTGTACATTTTGATTTATAGGCACAAATATTTTTATCTTAGTGGCATTATAGTGCTACACAGATCTCTAGTTTATCTAAAATACATTTTTTTTAAAGATGAAAAGAGGCTTGATCAGTACTCCTCCATCAGACATGCTTCCCACAACAGAAGGTGGAAAGTCAAATGCCTGGTTACGGCAAAAAAATGCTGGCATATATGTTCGTCCTCGACTGTTCTCTCCCTATGTGGAAGAAGCAAAGGTAATGATGACCATTTGAAGATAGTAGACTACTTTATTGTAACCATATGCACAAAGAGGTTTATTGTAATATTATTTAAATATTTGGAAATAGCCAATATTTCCAATAATAGGGAAAACGAAAGTAAATTCTAGTTAGACTACTCAACAAAAGAGTTTTCTGAAATGTTTAATTATCAAGCATGTTTTTAAAACTTACGCCATATTAAAATGCATTTTATCTTTTTCTCATCTTAATTGCCTTGCAAAATGTTAACTTAATTGCCTTGCAAATTGTTATCATTTTACTGAAATAGTTGTCAGTATTTTGTCATCTTGGGAATGGGGAAAATGTTCTGAAAGAAGATTGCACACATTTTTGTCTTCTTTGTAAATTAAAGGAATACCATGATCTCTTCTAACATGTAATAGCTGACTGTTGGGAATTGTGTTTAGTTTTAGAATAAGTACACAAACTAAGAACTCAGGCTTATTAAGTAAATAGTTGGCATCACATATTCTGTAACATAAAGAACTCTTAAAGAAAATACAGTAATATAAAATTGAAATATTGTAATTTTTAGTAGATGTATTCAGCCATAAGAACTAGGTGGCCTTTGGAGGAAAAACTGACAGTCTTTAAAAGTAAGAAATCAGCTGGGCATGGTAGCTCATGCCTGTAATCCCAGCACTTTGAGAGGCCAAGGCAGGAGGGTTACTTGGGGCCTGGAGTTCGAGACCAGCCTGGGCAACCTAGTGAGAACCCATCTCTGCAAAGAAATTTAAAAATTAGCCATATGCAATCATGCATGCCTGTAGTCCCAGCTACTCAGGAACCTGAGGTAGGAAGATTGAGCCTAGGAGTGCAAGGCTGCAGTAAGCTATGATCGTGCCGCCACTACACTCCAGCTGCCCTCTTTTAAAAAAAAAATCGTCATCATTAAGCTTTCTAAAATAAATTTATCAGGCAAATGGTGTGTTTGGGTATAGAATTAAGTTGTCTTACATTTTCTCATTTTTATTGCCAGAATCCCTAGTTTAAGATATATGAAAGGATTTGTGAGAAGTCTGTTTTATTGACTAGGTTGCTAATGTACCTCTTGTTGAGTAGTTGACATTTTAAAATAGTTCTAGAGCACAGGAGAGTAGCAGAATGGTTGGGTCTGGTCTTTCTGAAATAAGTGCAGTGCTTAATGTTGCTAACACAGCTGAGGCCTTCACAAAGGTCCAGTCTGGTGATACATGGTCTGTGATATACTAGACCTAACCTCCATTTCTTCTCCCTCAAGACCAGGCAGCCAAAAGCCAATCAGACATTCCTCTAGAATGTCCTGGTTCCTCAGGTGGCTGTGCCCAACACCTAAGGAGATAATTGCCCCCAGTAAATGTAAAAAATGTTTATACATTATCTCATTTTGGTCATTCTGCAGTTTGGTAAGATAGATTCACCTGAGACTAATTTAATAAAATTAGATTTATTTATAGGTCTTAAATTCACTGTTTTTAATATTTTGTATTTTGAAAGTAATAATCTTCCTCCAAATGTGATTTAACACAGATAAAGGTTGACTGATTCTGTTAACACTAAATTATTTCAGTCAGTGCTAGACGAGATGATGGTGGAACAAACAGATCTTGTGCGCTTGCGAATGGTTAGAATGTCCAACGTGCCAGACACGCTCTACATGGTCAATAATGCCGTGCCACAGTGTTGTCACATGATCAGCCACCAGCAGATCAGCAGTAACCAGTCAAGCCCTCCTTCAGTTGTAGCCAACGAAATTCCAGGTAAGGCAGTTTATCAGGCATTATATTTAAATGAATAACCTTATCATTTTTTGTAATTGCCGATGTTTGAACCCCCTTATATATGCTAATTCTCTCCATGTTTCAATACCCTTTATGCATTGTTCTCCTTAAAGAATTAATACTTATAAGCTAAGGTTTTTGTTTTATATTTTATTTTATATTAATAAGTATATACAGTTTTTCAGTTTAGCCTAGGGTTTCTCATCCTTGGCCCTGTTGGCATTTAGGGCTGGATGATTCCATGTAGAGGGAGCTGTCCTGTGCATTTTAGGGTGTTCAGCCACATCCCTGGCCTGTGCTTACTAGATGCTAGTAGTGCGCACACGCTCATACATGCTCGCGCACACACACCCCTTTGTGATAACCTTTTGGAAGCATTTTTATGTTTCTAGACATTGGCAAATGTACCCCTATAGGGCAAAATCACTCCTGCGGAGAACCACTGGTGTAGAGAAATTCATATTTTTTCCATCACCATAGGTTATTTCTCACATTATAAGACCTTTAGGAAAGTAATAGGTACTTAGACCTTTGGGTCCATGTATGTCCCCCAAAAATGTGATCACCATGGGAACTTTATTGTGGCATAGGCTTATGTCTTAAGACTTTGAGGGAAGTATATCAGGTATAACTGTCATCTTCAAAACTTTAGAGCATCAGTTAATGTTGACTTTAACCAAAGGGTTCTAGTGTGTCAGTTCTAAGGTAAGAAAAACAACAGTGATCTGGTGGACAGAAATACATGGCTCTTGCCAATTGCCATTGCAAGATTCAAAATAAAAACCAGGAAACTACAGCAGTGGAAATAGTGCTATTTATTTCTGCTTATAAATGTTTGTTTCAATTAAAGATAAATAAAAGATATAATGACACTTAATTGAATGCGTATGTTTTATTCTGGGACAAATGTTTTTCTTTAGTTGTTGCCTTATCAGATTTGGCCACCATATGTTTACTTAAAATACATATTGGATGACAGTATGAAAAGAAATATTTCTTTAGCTGTTTTGTACAGATTTTGAAGCTTTGGTAATTAGCACTGTTTTTTAGGCTTGAGTTAATATGATTGAGTATCAGCATAATTTAGTCTTAGAACTCAATCTCAGAAGCCCAAAGACATTCACAAGTATGCTCAGGAAAATAAGGCTGTCTCTCTGTTGTTTAGCTAAGGGGCATCGTCCTATTCATGTCGTCCTAGGTTCTTCTCACTCCTTTGCCCACACTCTAATGAAAGGCTCTATAGCTTTTTGCAGAAGATTTGTGGGTTCATATCCTGGCTCTATTACTTTGTATGACTTTGGACAAGCTATTTTCTTGAACATTTCCTCATCTGTAAAATAGGGATAATATCTCCTTTCAAGGATTTGATGAAGTACGATGAGTAACATGCTTAGGAGTTTGCCTGGCACAAAGCAAGCACTCAGTAAATGCTAGCTCCCTTTTCCCCCCAAAAATAATAATCAATCACGAACCTAGTCAGTTTATCTCACAAATATTTATAGACTTCATCCCCTCTTCTCCAGCCCTGCAGCACAGCCTTAGTTCAGATTCCAAACCAGTGTTCCCCCTCATCTTACTTCCATTTTGCCCTATGCACCAGGGGTCAGCACACTTTCTCTATAAAGGCCAGATAGTAAATATTTTAGGTTTTGTGGGCCATGCAGTCTCTATTGCATCTACTCAGCTCTCACACAACAGCCATAGACAACACCTAAATGAACGGGTACAGCTGTATTCCAGTAGAACTTTATTTACAACAGCAGACAGCGGGCTTGATTTAGCCTGCAGGCCATAGTTTGCCTCCCTTTGTACACTAGTGTCAGAGTGTGCCTGATCACAGCTCTGGCCCTGTTGTCCCCCTGCACGAGTGACTACCTATTGTGCACAGGATACAATTTAAATTCCTTATCCATGATCTGCTCCTACCAATCTTTCCAGCCTCCTCTCTTAGTATTATTCCTTTTTATAGCTCTGAACCCTTAAGTTCTCCTGGATATACCAGGTGCTTGTGTCATGCTGTCTCTCCCTGCAAGTTTTATACGTGCCCCATCCTTTTGCTCAGAAAGCCCTACCTACCCGCCTACCCCTGCCACTCTCAACCAGTCTGGTTTTCCCTTATTGAAAAATCAGGGTTCACCTTGTCTAATAAGTGTATCCTGCCTGCCCGCAGTCTGGGCTGGGTGCCCCTTCTTCCCAGTCCTTAAGCATCCTTTGCATATTTCTCTCTGTGAGCATTTATGACCCTTTGCTGCATTTGTTTACTTACTTAATGTCTCTAAGCCATAACTTTTTGAGGACAGGGATCATGTTTTTCATTGTATGCACCCTAATACCCAAGGCCAATCCCTGGTATGTAGTCAGGACTCAAAAACTTATTTGGTGTAATCCTAGCAAGGCAAGGCAAGAGGATTGCTGGAGGCCAGGAGTTTAAGACCACCATAAGCAAGAGTGAGACCCTCTCTCTACAAAAAAAAAGAAAACAAAAAAAACTGAAAAGTTAGCTGGGCATGGTGATGTGAAACTGTAGTCCCAGCTACTCGGGAGGCTGAAGCAGGAGAATCACTTGAGCCCAGGAGTTGGAGGTTGCAGTGAGCTGTGATCATGCCACTGCACTCTAGCCTGGGTGACAAAGCAAGACTCTGTCTCAAAAAAAAAAAACTTATTTGAACAAAAGAATGAAAGACTTACGAAATTTCCTGAGATTCAGAAGAGAGTATGTACAAGTAAAATTTTATTTGAGCGTGAACTAAAATAATACAACTCAGGAGCTGTTTGATATGATCAAGAGCCTTTTGGGCACAGTGAAATTTGAAAACCTTTAAAAATAATTAGAGGTATATAAATTACTGTGTTGCGGGAAATTAAAATGCTATCTGAAAGGTTTATAAGCTTCCAGTACAAAACACATGCTTTTTCCTTGCTCTCACTGGGTGGTCTTTTGTGTAGCTCAGGAATTTTGCCTGCACACTGTTTTTCTCCTTCCAGTTCCTCGTCTCCTCATTATGAAAGACATGGTCAGACGACTGCAGGAACTCCGACACACCGAGCAGGTGCAGAGGGCCTATGCGCTGAACTGTGGGGAGGGCGCCACTGTCAGCTATGAGATTCAGATCCGAGTACTGAGAGAGTTTGGCCTTGCAGATGCTGCCGCAGAACTGTTGCAGGTAGGAAACAGCATGAAACTATTTAAAGGGAGCCTTGCCTATCAGTTCAGCGGTGTTTTAGACACCCTGAGGAGCCCTCAGCTTGCTTCTTTTTCTTCATATTGCTTTTTCACTGCCTCTGGTATCTTTGATAACCTGCAGGTCCCTCCTGGTGAGAGGCAGTGTGGTGGACTGGACTGAGCACAGGTATAAAATGAGATGTGGGTTTATATCCTGTCTATCCTGCTTACTGATCAGTTAATTTGGAATGAGTTTCTTAACCACCATGAGCATCAGTTCCCTTACCTGCAGAATGGATTGTTGTGAAGATCCGAGGTGCTACATAGAAAGCAACTGTGTATCTGGTGCATAACAAGCATACAGTGGTGACTGCTAAAAAGCTCCAGGGTGTGTATGCCCACAGAGATGGCAAAGGAAGTAGAAAATTCTGAACTTTCTCTGCTCTCTCTGCCTACTTTGGTCACTAGATTTCAGGTTTGGTCTACGGCCATACTTACAGATTCCTCCCTCTTTTTCCCTCACTCCTCCCCTTAAAAGAAATTTTTTGTATGAGGGTTCAAACCCAAGCATGACAATCAAGGAATGAGTGCTCTTTTTTTTTTTAAACCTAGCAGAAAAAACTTTTTCTAGAAATAAGTAAGAGCAATAGCGTTGGTTTTTGCAGTTAAGAGAGAATTTATGAAATAGTCTGATCATAACCACTAAATCAGAGTCTTAAATAAAATGTAATTTCATTTGGTCAAGTGATTCAAACATTTTCTTTCAGCAAGGTGGGGGAATTGCATGAAGCCAGGAGTTCGAGACTAGCCTGCGCAAGAGCAAGACCCAGTCTCTACAAAAAATAGAAACATTAGCCAGACAAGGTGGCATGCACCTATAGTCCCAGCTACTCGGGAGGCTGAGGCCAGAGGATTGCTTGAGCCCAGGAGTTTGAGGTTGCTGTGAGCTATGGTGCCACTGCACTCTAGCCTGGGCAACAGTGAGACCCTGTCTCAAAAAAAAAGAAAGAAAGAAAGGTCTTGCCACTGACTCCAAACTCCTTTAGCTTTTACAAAAGGGTAATGTAGTGTGGTGTTCTTCAGTAAGGCAGCAAGCCATTTTTAGGGTCTTGATTTTCTTTTTCTGCTATAGTTTACATCCTTAAAATAAATAGTCTGGTTTTCTACTCATTTCTTTCCCCTTTACCATTCTAAATTTGGTCTTAATTTGATATATTGTTCAAAAGTAAGTATTCTCATATAATGTTTACCAAAATATTAAGCTTAGTAATGTCTAATGGGTAAGAAATAGTATTTTGTAGTTTTTATTTCAGAACATGTACAAATCTTTTGTCAGAAACTTTCTAGAAGATCCTCAGTTGTATGGCTTTTCTTCCTTTGGTGTTTACTGTTAATCTTATGTTCTTAGACAAGACATATTTGAATTAGTTTATATTAACCTGTTTTTGCTTTATCACTTAATCTTACAAAAGATGACCTACTTGCTGGAATATTCGATTGGGAAACTATCCTCGATAGCTGTGTCTTAGGCTACATAGGCTGCACTCTGCCCCTTTGTACTATTATTAAGGTCATTTTTTTCTTGGGCTTCTGGCCTAGAAAATATATTGTGCCTTTTACTCTTGCAGAATGTGGTTTTCTTAGGTGCCTCGCTTAAATCTCTCAGCCTGTAAATTTCCATCTATGGAATCTGCTAATAAATGCCCTTTTTTTTGTTTTTTTTTTTAATCTTTCTTAGAATCCTCACAAATTCTTTCCTGATGAACGTTTTGGGGATGAAAGTCCACTCTTGACAATGAGACAGCCTGGGAGATGTCGCATTAACAGTACCCCTCCTACAGAAACCATGTTTACAGACCTGGACTCTTTTGTGGCCTTCCATCCACCCTTGCCGCCTCCACCACCTCCCTACCACCCTCCAGCTACCCCAATCCACAACCAACTCAAAGCAAGCTGGAAACAAAGACCTCCCAGTCAGCATCCTTCACGTTCATTTTCTTATCCCTGTAATCATTCGCTGTTCCACTCCAGAACAGCTCCTAAAGCTGGCCCTCCCCCAGTCTACTTGCCGGGAGTTAAAGCAGCACCACCTGATTGTACCAACACTGCAGGACTGGGGAGGCAGACGGTGGCTGCTGCCGCCGCTGCCACCACCTCAGCAACAGTAGCATCTGAGAAACAAGTGGTAAGTCAACACTGAAACAACCTGCCCATAAAAGTTTATGGAATATTAGAAGAAATTACCTTGGCCCCAAGAGCCCCAGTGGGACTCAGCAGTGCCCAGAAGTGTTGCTGACAAGCTGAAAGCATAGATTTCTGAGGGGTGGAAAAAAGAAAAAAAAAAGCTAGTGTAGGTGAGTGAGAAAGGACAAGAGGAGAGAGACTAGAGGTGCAAATGATAAGTGTCATTGAGTGTCTTCCTTATCATATGTTCATGTGCCAAGATTAGGAAGGAGTAGGGTTACTGAGCAGTGCACAGGGATATGCCAGTTTCATAGTGTTCTGTTCAAGCACATGTCTAGAATCTGTCCCTAACTTCTACTCTTCTGTAGAATCTGCTGTTCTACTGAATGCTTTGATTCATTGGGACAAGAACAGGAAGTTACTTATAACTAAGCACAGTATACCATCAGGAATAATGTGGAAAAGACTCCCCGTTCAGAAAACAGGCAGAAAATGCATCTCCTTACGCATGCCTCTACTCTCAACAAGCTCATCTGTCAGAGCACCTGTTTGACAGTAGCTAGTAGGCAGTAAACTGAGAGAATTCTTTGCTTGAGTTTTCACTGCATTAGAGATTGAACTTCTGTTTTCTGTAGTATATTAAAAAAAAAAAAAAAATAGTGATTTTTAAGTCTTCCTACTCAGTCACATGCCATCAGTAACATTCAACACAGAGAAAAACAAGATTCATCTGTTCACAGAAGCTTTGTTAAAATATGCCCTATTGGAAGCTCTGGACTAGTATATACCTCAGATCAAATTACAATCCTGCCTTATCTTCTTATACCTACTGTCTCCCTGCGGTCCCTGCTTCCCCCCACCCCGGAATAGCAAAGGTCGGTGGTGTTTGATAAACCAAATTCCAATCCTGTTTGGCCTGGCCCTCAGTTCTACAGTTACAAAAGCTCCCCTACTTTATATTTTAAATAAAATATAAAGGAAATTTATTTGTATGTTCATTGCAGTCTTGACTATGATAATGAAAATTAGAAATAACCTAAATGTCCAACGGCAGGAGAATGGTTAAATAAGTCATGGTTCATCGATACAATGGAAGGTTACAGAATAATTTAAAATGGTGATCTCAAAGAAAATTTAGTGGCAGAATTATATATGCATTAAATCTTGTGAAAATTAATATAAATGCAAAGAAAAAAAAGGTTAGAGAAAGACCTCAAAATGCTAATAGTGTTATCTCTGTAGGGAAGGTTAGGGGTTTTGTTTTTTGGAAGTTTTTTGCCTTTATAGTTTTTTGTATTTTTATAATTCTTAAAAATATGCATGTATTACTTTTATAATCAGGAAACAAAATCAATGAACATCATTTTTCAGAGAGGAATTCATGAGCCTTTTTTGAATTCCTCCTGCCCTTTTTGTCTCTATGCAGCGAACACAGCCTGTGCTGAATGATCTGATGCCAGACATCGCCGTGGGTGTGTCCACACTGTCACTCAAGGACAGGAGGCTTCCAGAGCTTGCTGTAGACACAGAATTAAGCCAATCAGTTTCAGAAGCAGCACCAGGGCCTCCCCCACATCTGTCGTGTATTCCACAGAGGCATACACACACTTCTCGGAAAAAACACACACTAGAGCAAAAAACAGATGCTAGAGAAAATCAGCAGGAATACCCTGATTTCTATGACTTCTCTAACGCTGCTTGCAGACCTTCTACTCCTGCTCCTGGCAGACGCACTCCTCCTTCGCAAGGTGGATATTTTGGTCCTGATTTGTATAGCCACAATAAGGCATCACCGAGTGGCTTAAAGTCAGCCTGTCTGCCTAGCCAGACCTCTCCTAAAAAACAGGAAGAACCTAGGAGAGAATATCCACTGTCCCCTGATGGGCATCTACACAGACAAAAGAATGAGCCAATACACCTGGATGTCGTTGAGCAACCTGCCCAGCGGTCAGACTTTCCTTTGGGAGCCCCAGAAAATGCTGGTACTGGCCCAGCCCACGTCAGGGGGCGAACCACAGTAGAAACTGACTTGACTTTTGGGCTGACTCCTAACAGACCTTCACATTCTGCATGTAGCTCTGAAGCTCCAGAAGAGAGATCCAGTAGAAGACTGGCAGACAGTGAGTCCCTGGGCCATGGAGCTCAGAGAAACACAGATTTGGAAAGGGAAGATTCAGTAAGCAGAGGAAGGAGGTCACCAAGCAAGCCAGACTTTCTCTACAAAAAGTCTGCCCTCTGAGAGCAACCTTCAAGTCGTCTGTGCCTGAGATGTGAAACATCCCGTTCTATGATGTAACCCAACAACTTACTAGTTTATCGATGCCAGCTGATAACTCAGTTTCACATTACTTTCCTCTAGTTTTTATGTGTATATATATGTTTATTAGACATGGCATGCTAAGAGGGGTTTTTTGTTTTACTGCTGCATCTGTCTATTTTGTGTTTGAACAATTGTGTGGGGAAGCATTTTTAAGAGCAAGCAAGCTGGCACTTTTTTTCTCTTTACAAATGGAATTTTTTTGCACTTGTACTTATTTTATCTGTATTGATTTTATATCAGTATGTTAAACTTTATTGCCACATTTAAAGGACTGTATTTTCCTACTTTTTTGCATTTTACCTTTCATCTACCAATCCACGTGCATTGGATTGCACACTAAGATGTATTTTCTTATGAAATAGTTCTGTGTTTATTTTTTAATTATAGAAATTCCAAAGAACAGCACATCAAAATGCTCCTCTCTTTTCAGTAATTGTTTTAGTTCAGACACCTCCCTGCTCAGTCTCCATAAATCTCATGTCATTTTTCTTTAATAAGTCCTGGAAGCTGGTCTTCACTCCCCCAGCAGGAGTCCAGTCAGGGTCCTGCAGTTTGCTGGTTCAGTAAAGAACAGGAAGGAGAGAAGCCTTTTGTCCCAGGCTCACTCCATTGCTTTATTCATAACGTGGGCACTGTCAGAATCCCTGCAAAGTCTGGTAGTGGGGATTAGAGTGTCACTAGATGAGTTATCTTTAGAGATCGGATCCTTGGCATTACAAAGCAGGGGAAATAGTGAAATAACCTCAAGGTCGCACTGGTGGGATTTCGGGTCCTGAGCGTCAGCTCTCAGCTGCGATGTTGATTGACTGCTTGCTGCCTTCAGTTGTCTTGCTCTCTAGGGAAAAAAACAAAAAAACAAAAAGGGCTTCAGTCTTACGGATGTTCCTTGGTGTTTGTAAGCATATGTTTTCTTTCAAATGTTTTTCTGAGTATGTCTGCATCTCGATGTCCTATACAAACTTGTTGTATAATGCATAATGCTTTGTCACCAAAAGAAAAAATTTATTTTCAGTTGAACACTACATGTCCTACTTGAACTCCACTAGGGACGCTGGTTTGGCATTTACTGAACCACTGAGCACATGGGATCTTTTAAGATCCTTTCTCTTGGAAGGGCAATGTGTGAGCTAAGGACTGTTTTTTCTTACTCTCCAATGTAAATACATTAGTATTTGAGTTTTTAAATCACTTCAACATTAAATTTGAGCATTCACTTTGTATTTTTACAAACATACACAGCCGTAGCACTTAGAAGGAAAGAGACTTTCTGAACATTCCCTCATATGAAGGATATTTGGGAACCTCTTTTCTATGTATGTGTATATATGTATAACTATGAATCACTCACACTCACTCTAAAACTATGCAGGGCTAGGGAGCCTTTACAAGCTACCATTTAAATGAATTACATGCACTTTGAAGTAAATAGGTTTCTATTGGGTGTCAACAATTCTGATTTCTCCCGAAACTGTAGTTTCTCTTACAGTCTTTTCCTACTTTACCCTGTGGATATACACTCAGGAATAATCTGACATTTTTTAAAAATCCTAACAGTAGATAATCTCAAAGATGGGAATTTGGCAGTGTGTCTGTACACACCGCAAACTGCCGCCACGTGTTCTGCTGCCTGACTAGTTGCTGCTAGTGCACTTGTGATGCTGGTGTCGGTGCAGACCGAGCTCCCAGTCTCCCAAAGTTAACACTCGTCTACTGTAAGGTTGGCTACGCATCATCTTTGGGGCTCCTTTTTTAAGACAGAAAAACATAGGACTCTGTTCTCATTTGTAAGAGGTTTAACTTTCATAATAGTTGATGGTGTCTTTTAAAACCCAGCCTCGTCTGTCTCTCTTCCGAAACAAGAGTTGTTAATTCCATCATATTCCTTAATATGTATTTATATATATGTGTGTGTGTTGACAGGAATTGTTTTGATATAGTTTTGAATTTCTGTTCCAAATCAGACTATACTATGCTGGCACTGCAGATAAGAATGAGTAGCCCTAATTTGGATGGGGAAAAAACTTTCTCATCTCTGACCTGTTTCATGCTGTTGTTGTTTGTTGTTTTTTTTTCCCCTCCCCAAATGTTAGAACAGGGCTGTTGATCCCACACATTAATTTTTCTGAAAATTCATGAAGTAGCCTTTCATTCCCTAAAACATAGTTATAAAAATAAGTGACCACTCCTATTATTACGTAATTTGTGAAGTTTGGTTTTAATGGTTTAGTAGCTTACCTGGCTAAACTATGTGTATAGAGGGAAAACTTGCTTTAATCTGTGGGATTGTGGACTGAGGTGACTTGCGGAAGATAAACAAATGTGGGTTTTGTGTGCATTAGGGTGGTAAGTGTCAGTGAACTTTTCATGTGTCTTGTGAAGTATGGTTAATAGGGTAGGTTGAATAGCCATGGGCCTCTGGCTTTTGAACCCATCTATAATATTAAATCTTTTTTAATGCTGTACTAAGATAAATGTGAAGTCTGAGCGAGGTTGCTCTCAGAAAAAAAAAGTTATATGTATAATATAAAATTTAGGCCATGGGAACTGGCATTTTACTTGGTATGGAAATTTAATGAGAACCAAATCACAAAAATACCAGATCTCCTTTTGAGGCCAAGGACAATCAGGCCTATGAGACAATCACCACTTCCGGTGCCAGCTGTATTGAGGTTAGAGAACTGCCACCCAGATGCTAGAGCGGAAAGAAAAGATTCAAGTCTCTTAAAGATGTTGTTGGTCTTTCTCCCATGTTATTGTTTTAGTTTTGTGATCTTGGTGAATAAGTTCAGAGTCACCTGTAGCTCCTGAGGGGAAAAAAATAGCAGCACTAAAGGCAAAAATTATCGAAAACATTGTTTAAATTCTCCACACCCATTCTCACATGCCCCCTTTAGCTTTATTTCTAGAAACCCTGGACCTAAGCCAGCCTGATGTTTAAATAACCCATTAGGCTTTAAGGGTTGTTAGTGAGTTTTTTATATTCACATCTTTCTGTAGAATTCTCTATGAAACTTTACCTAACTCTCATTTTTGCTTCCTCAGAAACTCTTTTTTTTTATTACACTTGTCATCCTTTATTGGGTTTTCTTTTGATTTGTTCAAGTTCTAGCAATGGGCATAATACCTGTACATTTGAACTGAGACGATGGTGCGGAACAGAGAGAAGCAGCGGCGAACTTGGCAGCAGCAGTGGCGCTCCCTGAAAGCTGACCTCCGTGCGTCAGTCTCTGACGGGTCGAAGGGTTAACATTTCTCAGTAGCTCCCCAGCAAAATAAATATTTTCTTATAATGTTGAATTTGCCTTTTAGGGAAAAATATGTTTCATGAAATACTTGTAAGATACTTATTTTGCAATTAATTCAGAAGCATTCATATTTTTATGTTAGGACTGAATTCAAAGGGAAATGCTTCTTTGACTTTGTTTTAATTGTTTGGTTGAGTTTCAGCTTTCTGTAGTTACTATCAAAGCAGCAGTGATGGGTGCTATTCCCGGTTCTGCAACGGTTTACTTTGCCTACTAAGTGATTTACTTTAAAACCTCATTACAAATAATCTTACTAAAGAATTACCATGCACTCTGCTAAAAGGTGTTTTACTGTTTTCCATTAACACTGTTGTATGAACAACGTTTTATGAAATGTCTTTTTGTCCTGTAGATGGCCATAGCTGTTATGTAGTTACCATATTGGCAATCTTTTGATTGTTTTTTCCTCTAGAAAACCCTCAGACTGTGTGTGTCAATCTTCCATATTCTGAATATTATAATGCTGTGGCCGTTTCTGTAGAAAGATTACTTGCAAGTATGTGTCTTGGAAATAACATCTTGTGTTTGTGTGTTTATGTGAGTTCTAAGAGGTCAGATAAGCTCTGGAAGAGTCATCATCATATGTACCTGCACGTGACTGTGTATCTGAGTTACGTGGTCAGGCAATATGGAATCCTGCTCTTAGATCAGGTGGCTGAAAGTTAAGGGTTCCTGAACTCCACTTGCTGTGTATGTACCACATCTGTACTTCAGAGAGGCGACATCTTGTATAACATTGCATTTTCTTGTGGTTGTGCTGTTACTGGTATAAAGTCAAGTGCCTTCAATGCTAAAGGCTCAGAAATTTTTCTTAAACTGATTTCATGTCCTATGCAAGTGTTTTCTACAACCTGCATAACCAGTACTTTGTAAAACTTGTTTACGCTTCAATTGTACATAGTGATTTTTAAAGAAATATATAGTATTTTTATTTAGGTACCTCCAAACTTGAATTCGTCTGTGTGAAGCATTGTAAAACGATACATTTCTCTTTTGAGTACCATTGCAGTTGTACAGAGGTTTTCACTGGTTCTATTTTTCTACTGTTACTGATAAGCATGTAACACTGACTTTATCCTACATATAGTTGGCATTTCAAATAAATGGCTTGTGTAGAACCTGCTGAGTTGGATACAGTCTGTTTTAGCAGTGTAGCGTACGGTCTTCAGGTAGAGAAGTGATTGTACCCTTCAAGGGTAGGATTGGGAGTTTTCTAGCTTGATGTCCTCTGTATCTCTAAGGTTTCAATCAAAGGTATTTAATTTTTATTATCATCATAGTTTTCTTAGAAATCACACTTTTATTCTGAATCATCAAGTTCATTATTTTTTATTTCACTGAAACATTTCTGAGAGATTTCATTTTACAAATCTGAGCAAAAAGTTGCTTGCACAGGGGTCTCCAGAGGAAGCTTAGCACAGCACCGGTGAACCAGGCGCCTGGATGTGTCCTGCTATTCAGGACCTCCAAGTGTCAGAGACCTGACTTACATTCTGAGCTTGCTTTCTCTGTTAAACTCAGGCTTATTAATATTTTTCAATTTAAAAGGGAAATGGAGTCATCATCTAGAGTCTAGGATTCTGAAAAAGCATGCAAAATGGGAAGTTTTCTCGTTTTCATTTTTAAAAATTGCTATAAAATAGCTCCTATTTTAAAATTTTGTTTTCATCATTGCACTGGTAAGTTCTGTCCTAGCATTTCACTCCTCATGCCTCACTATGGAATAATCTCTTTACATTTTGTAACCATCTTAGGTTTAACAGAGGAGTGTAAAGATAAAATCCAAGGTTTTTGTGGGTGAACTTCTTAAAAATCTAAAAAAGAAAATTGCATAAATCAACTTTTATTTCTGCACTTCTGGATTATCCCTGGAAAAGCAAATTCAGGGAGCTCTTCCCTAGCCACATTGGGCCTTAGCTCTCCTCGGCACACTAGGAAATATTTCTTGAGTCCACTCTTCCCAAGGCCTATGCGTATGGAGCAGCAGACAAAACAGACAGATACCTATCCTCAGAAACTTTATGCGGGGGCCTGCTGGCGAGGTCCTGGCTGTGGGACCTGTGGCACAGCCCCTCACCCTCAGTTTCCTCGTCCTTAAAACAGAGGTGACTCGGTTCGCTTACTCGGCGCTGGCTGGGACTTTCTGTGTTTGCTCACAGTCCTCACGTCAGCCTGGGCAACGGGCCTTCTTGTTGCCGTTCTCGAGTAGAGGAACTCCTCCTCGACACCTGCCTGGAAGGGCTGCTGCGAGTCCGCGGGCACCTGGTGACGTTGGTACTCTCTGAAGTCCCGACCCTCAAACCTATCTAGCTGGTGAGTATCCTCCATCTCTGGAATCTTCTATCAGATGCACCGTAAATGCCTCCCTACCCTCTGCAACCGAACTAAAAGTAATTGTTCTCATCTCTCCATGTTCTGACAGAGCCA